ATAAATGGGAAAGCAAATCCCACAGAAAACATTCATCCTCTTCTTTGAACTTTATTATTTGATAAGAGAATGTATTCCTACAGATCTTAAATGTTAATAGCTTCCCAGGGGCCAGAAAAGCAAAGAAATAAGAGGCTGCAATCTTAAAATTGTTTCATCTGGTAATTTCTGCAAAGTGATATCTGTCTGGCATATAAAAAGCTTAAAAAGCAAAATACATTAACAAATGTCATGAAACTTGGAAACAGAGATCACATACATTCTTTTTTATTTGTGTAGACTTTCAAAACAGAGAAATGAATCCCATTGTGAATAATATGCTTTGGGACATTATTGAATCTTAGACTTGCTATTGATTTACAAAATATGTTGAGGTGAGGTTAAATGGGGTTGAAAATCTCATTCCCGATTACTGCTGATTAATGTCTACAACTGTCTAGATATTTGGCCACACGGAAATACATATGTTCAATAAATAACAGCAACATAACTCTTTACATAAGAGTGAGTGAGTGAGTTAAAGTTTAACGTAACATCGGCAATATTTCAGCCATATCGTGATCTTTACATAAGAAATCTAGAACACAGGAATACAAATATAAATGAAAGTGACAGACAGCATTCCCATAAGAAATCTCTACTAAAAGTCCATTGTACTTTTCCGACAATATAATGACCATGTGTTTATGAATCACTATCAAATACTGATGATACCGGGGGGGGGAGCATATCCTGCCTACCTATGGCAGACATCTTACTCTTATGATCAAAGGGAATTTCACACTTTGATCCTTTGCACCATCACAAAGTTTCAGCTTGATCAATTTGGTACCTCTGATGAGGTTCAAAATGAGCGAGGTTGAGGTGAGGTGTGATTGGGTTTAATGTCATGTCCAAGATTACTGACTTATTTAGCAACGTGCATGCACTTGTCTGTGTGTGGCTGCTTGAACTAGTCCGGAATAATGCCGATTTATAGCCCACTGAGATACCGCAGTTTAACATGAATACCCCACTCAGACACACTATACTGACTCCTAGCCAACCAGTCCTTGTTTTAGCCCCTTAATGCCGAGTACCAGACAGGGTAACAACAAGTACCATCTTTTAACGTCTTTTGGTATGATGCTGACGGACGTTCTCCGGGCAGACGCTCTAACACTAGACCACGGAGGCGGTCCAAAATGAGTGAGTGAGTGAGTGAGTTGGACTTAACGCCGCTTTTAACGGTATTCCAGTTATATTACGGCGTGTCAGCTTAATGTGGGAGGACAGCCCGAAGTGATGCAGGTCTTAGACGTTTACCACTGCAGTGAAACCCACAAGCACGGGTAGGGTGCTGACAAACCTAGAAACATAATCGGGGCGAACCGGGATTTGAACCCACAACAAACTGCGCCTTAAACGCCTACCCGTGGCCCCCAGTCCAAGATGAGCAAGGATGACATCCAACACGTAACTTCTGATAAGTTGAGATTATCATCCATAAGCACATGTGTATAAAAATGGTTCAAGTAGGACTGACCTTTTCTTCTTGTTTGATAAAGATTTGGAAAGACATTTCCAATTTTGGGAATGTTTTGCCATATGCAGTGCTTATGAAGCAGGTCTTCCGGTCCCACACTTTCACTTATGGTATGCCAATGTTTTTCTTGTCGGGATAGCATATAAGTTTGCAGTTGGCAGAAAAAAGAGAAAAGTACTTATCATGTTTTATTTTATGTAAAAAGTATGGCCTGACTATCAAACACAGGACGGCAGGGTTATAACAGGGTCAAAATCAAACAGATACATATTTGATATAGCTGCCATGGTACATTTTTATTTTCACAGACCATTCCATGGTGACAATGTATATGGTGTGACACAACAAAAGCTAATAACAGGGAGTTATTAATTAGAACAACCTAACAATATCACATATTAGAGAAACATTCAAAGTGAGTGAGTTGGGTTTTGCGTCGCTTTTAGCAATATTCCAGCAAGGGACACCAGAAATAGACTTAACACATTGTACCCATTTTGGGAATCGTACCCTTAGCGTGAAGAGTGAACACCTTGACCAAAAGGCTACTCCATCACCCCAAGAAACATTTAGAGAAATCCAAAGGTGACAATTGTGGATATTTATACACCTGCTGTTTCAGAGCATCATGGCATCTGCACCCAAATGGGTTTACAATCCTGAAAAAAATTGTGTTCTGTGTGTCTTTTGTCTTTTGTTAATTTCCAAATCAAGATGGTTACCGTATTCGACGTAATAAGCGCCCAGGGCGCTCTCAAAATTAGAAATAGGGGGCTCTTATTAGAATATTATTTTGGTGAAAAAACAGAGTTTAAAGATAGATTTCATGGTTTATGCTGACAGCCTGAATATTCATGTACGACAGATATATTTTTCAGAATTTAATTGCCCATAATTCAGATTGCATATAACACACGAGTGCGTATCATACACGAATAAATAAGTCTTGTGTACATTGATCAATCGGAAGGGGTGCTAATTGGGATTGTTCACTAGCCAATATATTAGCAAATATCGCCATGGGCGCTTATTAGAGCGGGGCGCTTATTATGTCGAATACGGTAATAGGCCTAAATCAGGGGTTAATAGTTCACTCAGCAATCACCTGGCACAACTACCAAAATAGGGGTTGTCACATCTTCCTGCAGAAAGGTATCCTATTTGAATAAATGGTTTGATGTTAATGAGATTTGTTCTTGAATGGGCCATCAAACCTTCTCACTGAATTAAAGAACAGTTGAATCCCATTGACCCTAGTGACCCCTGATTAGAGAACGGGAGAGCTACAAATTGATTGGACCAATGTGTCAAGTGAAGCATTGCCTGCATCCATAACAGGGCAAGGGCCCCAGGGGCCACAATTGAAGGAGAAAATATCTGAAGGGTCATTGACCCAGTTCTGTTGCATTTTGTCACAGTTCTGATCTCAAGGTGTATATTATTGCAAGATGGTTCCATCTCCTTGAGGCAAGGGAGTTAACTGACTGTAAAAGTCCAGTTTTCACCCTTGCCGAACTAGGCTGGAATTTCTGGGCTCGATTGTAGTGCCACCATTGGCTATAACGAGTTATGTCCCTTCGATATCCCACCTATAGACCAATCAGATTCCACCTCTTATATCACTTGCATTTGTTTCAAACAAAATGGCCGGCGCCCAGTCAAGACGATTTGATCGATAATAACAATCGTTTTTGTAATATAAAGGGTCTTATTTCACGAAGTGCATCCAAGTGATTCAAAATATGAAAAGATTTGGAAAATATCTGTTGACGCCGCGTTGGAGGTACACATGCTTTCCAAATCCTGCAATCGACTGAAATCCGCACTGCACTTTATGAAACCGGGTGTTGATTTCATTAAGCGAAATCTAGCCAAAATGTAACTCCATAATTGCAGCCTAGTTCGTCAAGGGTGAAAACTGGACTTTTACAGTCTGTTAACTCCCTTGAATTGGGAAGATGGATGGTTCTGATGTCAAGGTGTATACCAATATAGGATAGTTCTGACCTCATTATGTATACTATTGAGGGATAGTTCTGACCTCATTGTGTATACTATTGAAGGATAGTTCTGACCTCGTGGCGTATACTATTGAAGGATATCTCTGACCTCATAGCGAATACCACTGAAGGATATCTTTGACCTCATGGCATATACTAGTGTAGGATCGTTCTGATTTCTTATGGTACACATTATTATGGAATGGTTGTTGTCTCATGGTACATAATATTTCAGAATGGTTCTTGTCTCGAGGTACATAATATTGTATAATGTTCTGATCTAATTGTATATAATATTTCAGAATGGTTCTTGTCTCGAGGTACATAATATTGTATAATGTTCTGATCTCATTGTACATAATATTTCAGAATGGTTCTTGTCTCGAGGTAGATAATATTGTATAATGTTCTGATCTCACTGTGCATAATATTGTATAATGTTCGGATCTCATTTTACATAATATTGTATAATGTTCTGATCTTATTGTATATAATATTACAGAATGGTTCTGGTCTCAAGGTACATAATATTGTATAATGTTCTGATCTCATTGTACATAATATTGTATAATGTTCTGATCTCATTGTACATAATATTGTATAATGTTCTGATCTTATTGTACATAATATTGTATAATGTTCTGATCTTATTGTATATAATATTACAGAATGGTTCTGGTCTCAAGGTACATAATATTGTATAATGTTCTGATCTCATTGTACATAATATTTCAGAATGGTTCTGTTCTCATGGCATATATTATTGTATTATGTCCTGATCTGATGACACATATCCTGCACTTTGGCTGATTCCCTCTGGTTTAGTGGTGAGTAACCAAGAGTGAATACACTGTACTGAGATGAGTAACGACACATCCCATGTACTGACAGTCTAGAGTTGACGTGAATAGGCTACAACACATACATCTGATAACTGACAGGCATCCAAATGACCTAACAGGGTATCCTCTGGAATCTCGAGGTTATTGATCTTGGGGGAGCTGAGAGTAAGCAGCATGGTTCAAAACTGAGCGAATGTCGTTGGTGGAGGATACCGGACCATGGCAGGAATTCACTAGTGCAGTCCCCAATCAATAACTTATCTGTTGCTATGGTAACCAGTTCCCCCCACTCGTACTCCTAAAATTCAATACAACCCCATGCCGATTGATGAAAACGGTCTGCAAAGCCTTCCACACATTGCGCCGCAGTGGACGATGGAGGTCTTTCACGGCGCTGATGACACTCCCGTCGGGTGGTTTGCACGAGGGGCATTGCATGGAAGAACGCTGTAGAATGCTAACGGACAATACGGGATATCCCTCCGCTCTGGGGTCATTTTCATAATAATCGAGTTCAACATAAGAACAACAGTTGGAAGGATCTTCCTGTATAGTCACACAACCAAGATAATGCGTAAATTAAAACAAAACTCGACGTTTGACGAGTGGAACGTGAGGAAAATGTGAGCTTACCTCAAATCGGTCCGTTTCCCCGATGTCAGCTGCCTTGGCACAGCTCAAACGATAGAGATTGATTTTTCCTGACGCAAGCTCCTCTCCGATCCAGCCCTGTCTTGGATTGGAGCCTTCTCCCTGCCCATTGCTCATGCAGAACTGTTGCCATCCATGGACAGATCCATTGTCGCCAGAGGGGTGGCAGATCGATTCCGAAACAATTAGACCAAAGCCCTTCATAATTCAAGATCGTTGTTGCATGCAATTGCGTTAGAGATGTAGACTGAAGAATTGCCGTCAGCGGTGTTTTGGAAAGATCCGTCACTTGGGAATATGCAATGTTAAGTGTCTGTTTGAACATTACGGGCTAGTTCGATATTCCATTAGTATCCACCACGATCCAAGACCATGGTTATCACGATTACAGATTCCTGTTCGTGGATGCCTACATTTAAGAAAACATCCCTAAAACGACCAGAAGACGGAGTTCTTTTTGACTGAACACATGGACGCGAGATCAGGTGTTAGAAATCGGCATACCTGAGCATGTATTTTATGTAACCTTTGTAAAAAATAGTTTTTTTATCCCACAAAGCCTTCAGAAAATAAATTGGATGTTAGTGTGAATACGCGCCAGTATGACCTTGAAAGAAATCCAAATTAAAATATTTGTTTCTACAAAATAATATACATTATCTGTTGGGACAAAAATTTAGCTTCCGTTGAAGGTCATGTCAGTGACAGATCTCATGTGAGCAGGCCGATCTCATGTGGACAGTTGTTCCGTAGTCCCGTTAGTCGCCCCTTGGGACAAGCATAATCGCCTTTTAGGGCAAGCATGGATTGCTGAAGGTTCATAAGTCGGATGCAACCGCCAGTTGTCCTCGAGGCAGTATAATTATGGTGTACACATGTTATCTCTATTCTCAAATGACAATGATGTCATTAAATGACATCATTATACGCACCATCGTATGACGTACGCACTACCGCATTATGTAAGCACCGTCTTATAACGCACGCATCATCTTACGACTTACATGTTGTCGTATGACAAACGGACTCTTATGGCGTGCACACTATCTTAGGATAGTATATACTCAACAACAAAAGTTCCTGTGACACCAATATTTTAGTGTATTTTTCAAACAAGTAAAGTTTGGTTTTCAATATTGTAGTACATGTATGGAATAAAGTCACAAAAACGCAACTGCTACAGAAAAGCATGCATTCCATGCAAAGGTTGACTTTTAAGCAAGCCCAATTCATTTCACTACCAATGAATGGGAATAAAAACGTGTGCGTTAACGGGATTCCATATGCATTGTTTAGCATCGTGCTGACAACAACCACTGAGAAAAACAACAAAATTACGCAATTATTCAACATTACGAAATGCCACGCCTGTCCAAAAATGAGCGTCTGCGAGCCATTGGTATGCTTGAAGCAGGATCGAGTCAACGTGATGTTGCAAGACAAATTAACGTACACAGAAACACTATTTGTTGTTAATGACAACGTTGGCAACAGACGAATGCAGTCAGAGACCATCCTCGTAGTGGCAGGCCACGCGTAACCAATATTCGACAAGACAACTGGATTCGAACACCACACCTACGAAATCGATTCCAGCCAGCAACAGTGACTGCAAGAAGCATCCCTGGCCTTCAACGAATATCTTCACAAACCGTACGTCGTCGCCTTAGATGTGCAGGGATTGCCGCCAGAAAACCCGCCAGACGTCCCATTTTGACAGGAAACCACCGTCAAGCACGTTTACAGTGGCGTCTACGCTGGACGGCCATGCAGTGGGGACAAGTTCTATTCACTGACGAGTCTCGTTTTCACCTCAGCCACAGCGATGGACGGATTCGAGTGTACCGACGTCGAGGTGAACGTTACGTCAATCATTGTGTCATGGAAGAAGATCGGTTCGGGGCGGCAGCGTTATGGTATAGGGTGGGATTACAACAAGACAGAGGACCCCTTTGATAGTGGTAGAGGGAAATCTCAATGGACAGCGCTACCGCGACGAGATCATCGGCCCTGTTGTTCTACCGTTTTTGCGTCGTCATGGCCCAGACATTACCTTTCAACATGACAACACCCGGCCTCATATTGCTCGACTTGTTCAGGATTCTCTTCAACAAAACAATGTCATCCCCTGGCCGGCTCGCTCCCCTGATCTCTCACCAATCGAGCACACGTGGGATGAGATGGATCGGCGCCTTCGAAGTCAACCAGGTGTTACACAGACACTCCAGGAACTTCGAAACATGCTCCAGCAGATATGGACAGATATCCCACAGGACGCCTGGTCCATTCCATGTCCAGAGGTGGACACACACGCTATGGATGTGTAAATTGACATTTTGACATGTTCATGTTTTTTATTTAATCACGCATTTTCTGAAGTCAGTATGGCAAATTAAACCATTTGAAAACTTACAGGAGTCTTTTATCTGTTGCGAACCGAAATTGTTTCAGATTTGGTAAAAAACATAACTTTGCATTAAATCTTATTCAGTGTCACAGGAACTTTTGTTGTTCAGTATATATGTCAAGTCTAGATTACTGCAGTTTATGAAAATGAAGAAATTCTCTGGGCCCCTTGTTATTATACTTTATGAAAATAATTTTACAACTGTTGTTTCTGTAAAATATTTTCATTGCAGAGACTATATGTTGGTATAAGCTAAGGTGAAATTATGTTTAAAGTGGCTATGAAGATTATTTCACTCGTATAGCCACGTGTATGCATTTGTGTGTGACTTGTTGTACTAGTCCAGACTTCTGCAGGTTTGAACAAACCCACTGATATACCATGACACATCCTAATATGGGTATCCCCACCCCACCCAGGCAGGGAATCGAACCACAGACCTTCTGATTTCAGGGAAGACGCTCTATCCACTTGACCACGGGGGCAGTTCACAACGGTGTCCAAAGGGATGGTGTTTTTATCGTACACCGACGCTAGACCGTTGTTCGTTCTATCAACCACTGTGTAGTCAGTTCAATAATATACTATTTACAGAAAGTCGTAAAACGGTTGTCATACTGCTGACTGCGGCGTTAAATAACATTCACTCACTGAATATCGAGATATGTTTATGTGCCCAAGACTGTCTATGACTCAATGACTTCAGGAAATAGACTCGCCTGATGTAATACATGTATCCATAAAATAGACTTCACACTGACATGCTGAATATTTGATTATATTAAATTTAACGGCTAAATATTACGGCCAAAATATCCAAAACTAAATAGATTGTTGTTTAAAGTACCACTCATCAATATTCAAGCTGTATATAAGCATGTTTGGACAAAACAAACCAGTGATTGATATCATGAGCAACGATCCACACAACGGGGAATGATGACACGCAATCAACCGAGTCTGACCACCTGGATCCGTTATGTCACCTCTTCCTACAATAAGGGCTTCTGTGGACCAATTCCAACCCGGAATACCCACGAGACCCCCACCCCCCAGCCGTCGTTCACTGTAGATAATATACCCGTGAAGATCCGGGGTAGAATAGGTCTTCAGCAACCCATGCTTGCCGTAAAAGGCGACTATGCTTGTCGTAAGAGGCGACTAACGGGATCGGGTGGTCAGGCTCGCTGACTTGGTTTTTTGCATGTCATCGTATCCTAAAAGCGTGGATCGATGCTTATGATATCAATCAGTGGATTTTCTTGTCCAGACTCGATTATTTCCACAGCTGGGATACTGATGGGTGCAGCATTAAACAACAAACAAACAAACTGTAGATAATATGTTCAGATGTATAAGTACAGTTAGATATGGTATACGGTACGCATCTGCTCGGTAGGCGAAAAATCTCTCTTATGCTATGAACGACCAAAGCCCTCTCTCTCTCTCTCTCTCGCTCTCTCTCTCTTCTCTCTCTCTCTCTCTCTCTCTCTCTCTCTCTCTCTCTCTCTCTCTCTCTCTCGTGCTGTAATCGATCATTGTTCAGTACTAAGCAAAAATTCCAGATAAGTCAACGGCAAACTTTGAAACGAGTTATACCAGTTTCATCCAGAACGAATTCCGACTATTGTTCCGCGTGGGTCGGTGGAATACTGCCTGCTAAGAACGTGGCCAATCAATACGAGATAGGCTCTCTTAAACCGCCGACAATCGATATCGAAATCAGTCTAAAGTTGACTGAACAAGAATCAGCACAAGTCATTTCGCGTATGCGTAGGATTTTATGAACGCATCGTTAACTAATCATTCTCAGTGTGTTTTAAAAGGACGTTTCCATATAAAAATTTTTTTGTTGCTGTTGGTGTTTAACGCCGTTCTCAGTAATAGTCAAGCTATATGACGGCGGTCTGTAAATAATCGAGTCTCGACCAGACAATCCAGCGATTGCCATCATGAGCATCGACCCACACAATTGGGATATGATGACATGCATCAACCAAGTCAGCGAGCACCAAGAAAATCAATGAGTCTGACCAACCGATCCCGATAGTCGCTTCTTGTGACAAGCATTTGTTGCTGAATATCTTCATGGGCCTTCCTAACAAGAGAACGAGATGGGTTTAGGGCCGCTTTGAACAGTATTTCGGTTAAATAACAGCGTGTCAGCTTGATGTGGGAGGCAAGTCCAAAGTGATGTAGGTCTTAGACGTTTGCAGCTTTGGTGACATCCATGAGCACAGGTTGGTGCTGACAAATCTAGAAATACTATCAGGACGATCCGGGATTCGAACCCATGATCATAGTTTTCTGGCAAGCTCGAGGGACCCAACACTGCACAGCCATAGGCGATTAGGCCACCTGTGCTCTCTGCTTCAAAATGACACCGATGAGTTGCTGTCTAATAAAAATAGAAGGTTCTGGTAACGACTGTACCCTCTATGGATCCCAGGACAGGTTATCTTTATACATATTGACCGTTAGTGATTGCACACCGAAGTGGACATCATGATGCGGTGATCTGGCTGGTTGTGTCCCTTTCGACATGTTTTATCTCTTCCAGATCATCAGTTATCCAGGACCGCCTCCGTGGCCTAGTGGCTAGAGGGTCTGCCAGACAGCGACAGGTCGGTGGCTCGATCCCCTTGCCCCGTCAAACCAATAGACGTTAGAAATGGTACTTGTTGTTAA